TATTGAGTCACAGAAAGTATCAGTCTTGGATTTTTGCCCTTTTAACCTCAATAAAACCATTGTTCTGGGATTATTACATGACAGTATGAAGAGGAAGAAGTTAAGGCTATCTTTGGAAACATAAACCTTGGAAGCTTGTCAGACTTGGATTTTCAGGCTCTTAACTCCCCTCACTCTTATTATAGACTGGAAGAAAACAAACCCTGAAATTTTCAGAGAACTATATTCTACTACAACTTCCTAAGTGCCAAGTATATTTTATCAAGTGTAAAGTAAAAAAATGTACCCTACATCTGAAAACTGTTCTGTTGTTTTTTTTTCACTAGCTTCAATATTTGGGAAAAGCACCTTCTCTTTTTTTTTTTTTTCTTTTTTTTTTTTTTTGAAATGAAGATACCCTATCAGAAGTATCAAGTACCCTATCAGGACAATTGTTTTTTTCTGATTAGGCTAAGTCCAAACTGTTGAAACACATCACAAATCTTGATATTATGAGGGTTACTAACAGATGGCTTTTACCATTTTAAAAAATCTTTTAGAAAAATTAGTAGTGTGATTTTCTTATGTAATCAAGRCCATAGTCTGAACTTCCTCTGTTCATATTCTAGACCCTTCAGGACTTTGTTTCACATAARCTAAGCAATTTTTCATTCAGTACTTTGATGGATCATGAAGAAAGATCAAAATAACACTTCAGTAGGTCTAAAAGATTTTACTASTTTTGATGCATCAGTATAAATGGAAATGGATTGTCATAGAATAATGTGTTTCTGAATTAAATAATACATTTTTGTTTCCCTTATTCTGTGTCAACAATTTCGAAAGGCTTAAAAAATACCTTCCAGTTAAAAAGGTATTATTTTAGTTGTAATTAAATCCATAGACTAAATGACAGCATATGAACATCTGACTTTTTGGTTCCTTCTAATGTGGTGTTACAATTTTTGTTGAAAATTGTSTGCAATTTGAAGTGTTTTGAAGAAGTTGGCCTGTAGTGCCTGATGAATCAACCTTCGCATATTCAGTATGAGTTGCTCCAAATACCAATACACAGCTGTTCTGCTGTTCCTACATCAAGCCTATGATGTATTCTTCACTCTTTTCCCTTTTGTGATTTCCATGTAAGACTTTGCGAAAGCAGGGTGTGACCATTTGACCTGTCTGGASTGAAAGGTCTGGTACTTTTACGGTACTTCATCTCCCAGCTTTATATTTTGGGCCGCAGAAATACATGCCCCATAAAAGAACTGTTTAGTTTCCCTGGAATATTAAACTGTTTTCTGTATTTTTCAGGACCATATACTTATTTAACATGGTTAGATACTAATGATACAGTGTGGGAAAGCATACATAACTTTGCTTGTCAAAGGTATCCAGTGTGCACTGAGTAAGAATGTTAATCTGCAAATATTTGAAGCATTGGTTGAATCAATTTTAGCAGTCTTAAGACAATATGTTGGAATACAGTTTTTGCTTGTGGAAATGGATCCAGAAGTCTGACATCTTCTGCATACCTGTCCGTATTTTAAAAGTATTATGAATGTGGACTCAAAAACTAGTAAATATCTAGGTCTGGTAAATATCTGTGAATTATTTACTTTTTAAGTGAATGCTGCTATAGTATTTACCTTGGTTATGACTCAGTTTTCAATATATCTCCTGGGAACAGAGAAGCTTTTTGGAATTCAAAACTGGCAAACTGTATGAAAAGTAAGATGTTGCTAGTTTGTCCACACTTAGAGAATGCTGTGGGGACTTTAACAACTATGAGTAGATATTTATAAGTCATAAGGTGGAATGATTTTGTTGAATAATAAATTACACATGTACATAAAACTGTAGTTGACAGAGTTCTTTCACTGTTGCCGCTTTACTGCTTCGAGTAGTTTTTAAWGGGTGTAAGCAGCTCTGAGACTGAGTAATCAAGTTTTTGTGAATGACAGTTGTAGGGTAGAATAAAGCCCTGCCTCATGGAAAAGTGGCCAGACTATTTTTGCTGCTTGTAAGAGAAGTTGGAAGTTAGATGAAGGTAAGCTGTCTCACAAGAGATATGAGGAGCTGTACCTGACCCATATGTTAAGACCATTCTTCTAAGAGGATTTGAAGCAAAGCTTCCCGCCATTATTGAAATTACATGAAGTGATGAAGGGAACCCAGGTCCAACTGAGTGTACAGGGAAGCCTGAGAGAAAGACCAGTGTCAGATTCATGGATAAAGTTCTCCGCTTTCACTAGAAAAAAGGAATATACAAAATAGACCAACCCCTTCTTTGGGGTTGAAAGAGACATTAAAAAAAATAAAATTAAAAAAAAAAAAGAGGTAATTTCCATCTTATTAAAATATTCAGAATATTTTGAGGTTTTGGTTAGAAAATGTGATTTTTAGGTCAGGTTGCTCCAATTACCAAACAAAGAAATTGATTTCACCTTGATGGCTCTTTTCTCTCTGTAATTTCTCTCTCTCTACCTCTTTGTAATTTTTTTTAATTGTAAAGAAAAAAGCTTTCATAAGATCAAAATTAAGAGTCTGAACAGAGCACATTTTTGCTTTAAGCAACAGAAAACTGTGACTTAAAGTTAGTTTTGACAGCTCTTCAGCTTCATTTTCTCAGGAGATTTTATTTAATACGATCATGCTTTCTCTTTCTACTAAAAGTTTCTACCTCTTTGTCCATTGACATTAATTAATCAAAAATCCAAATGTAATTGATTTCTTAAAATCATAGAATTGTGACAATGGCAAAAGACCTCCAAGATCCTAATGTCCAATCTTTGAACAATCACCACCACTCACCTAAACCATCTTCTTCTCCTCTTCTTGTAAATCAGCAGCTGGATTGAAAAACAAAAAAGCCCCAGAGCCCCAGTGTGTTGCTGTCCTARGAAGGGGAATGCAAAACTCCTTTGGTGACTTCATGGCATCTAAAGCAAATCTTCCCCATGCCCTGCCTTTCTCTGCCTTGYCCCTTGCCATGGGTTCATACTCATACTTACCTTGGCAAAAGCGCTAAGTGAGCTTTCTTCCTCGAAAGCACAGATCCCAGTGAAAATGCACCACTCCAGGGGGGTTCTCAGCTAGATCGGAAGCCTTAAGCAACTTTACATGCCGTCTGGTGGCTTTGGAGCAGAATGGAAACACRTATGCAAAGACAGGAGAGAGGTCAAGGGGCATCCCACAGGGTAGAAATGGCTTTAAGTTGCCATGAACATGGAAGCAACTAGCCAGCTGGTCTGTTTGCCACGTGTGTGACTTCACACTGCCCTCGGCCCATTTGTTCTTGCCTGGTTGAGTTATCCCTGTACAAGTGTGGTAGCCAGAGCTAACACTGTGATGACACAGGGAACCAGCCTTTACTCATCCTCCTGTTCTCATGCCTGGCTGTCTTTTCAGACTGTGTTTTCTTCAGACTAAAGTCACATAGGCAGTGGATGTGGATACAACTAAAGTAGCTGCTGTCCCAGTGTATYAAGTTGCATTCCTGCAAAAGTGAAAGAAGTTCATGTAAATGAAATCCATAAATAATACTAAAGTTGGAGGTATTTCAATCCCTAGAGAAGAAAAAAATATTAAATTTTATTCCTACTCAGAGTAATTCTAATGACAAGCTTCGCATTCATGTCAGCTGAGTATGTTCAAGATCCCTGGGAAGATTAAGACTCTGAAATAAGTGAGGAAATGTAACAGTGGAAACTTTGTGGATACATGAAAGAAAAATGACAAGAAATGTGTAATACACAACCCAGAATTTGGGAGTTTTTGCCTGTGGGATGTGTGTGTGTGAAAATATGTGATTTATTTGCAAAACTATTGGATCACAGACCAGGGAAGTAATCACTCCTTGGGTTTGGGTGAACAGTCATAGCCTGTACTTAAGGAAGTAGGCAAAGACATATTCTAAGTTTAGAGCAGAAGTGTTCAAAATTAAGGAAAGTTCGTGGAGTTTTTCATGCAAGAAAAATTACATAATCAACTGTGATTGATGGGATGTCTTTGTTAGTCCCAAATTTGCTACAAGTGCGTGCAAATCAGCTCTTATGGTAATAGCCACAGGGAGATACTGTTATGAAAAATACTTCATTATCTATTGACATTTTAAGTAGTTTGGACCTGATCCAGTAATGGTTTCAAATAACTAACATACCTCACTTTCTAATGTAAATTTAGAAAAAAAAAAAAAAAAGAAAGGAAAAGAAAAAGTCTTATCCCCTAGAATGCTGGTGTGTACTGTTTAGAAGACTGGATTTCCAGTCTGACTAGCTGATCTCAAAGGTCTTTTCCAACCTAAGTTGATTCCCCGATTCTGTCTTTAAATTAAYGTTTCACCGTTATTTAATGAAGTGGAAAAATTTGGGAGGTCTAGGTAATCATGTCAGGGCCTACCCAAAAAACTTCTCTCAGGAGCCAATGGAGCTTGTAGGATCCCAGCCTTGCCCCGACTCCTTGAGTGAACGGATCTGGATCCTTAAGCGCTCAGACCTCCGGAGGGGCTGGAGGGCTGGCGGGGTCTCACTGCCGCATCGGGGAGCGGCAGCAGGTGGGAATCTGATCCCGCCTTCTCCCGGCTGCCGGGGTGCGGTGCGGGTGCGGTGCACAGCGCAGGACGGGGTGCATTGCGGTGCGGTGCCCGGTGCGGTGCGGTGCAATGCGCGGTACAGTGCGGTGCGGTGTTGTACAGTGTGGTGCAGTACGCGGTGCGGTGCGAGGTGCGGTACGGTGAGGTCCGCGGTGCGCGGTACAGTGCGGTGCGGTGCTGTACAGTGAAGTGCGCGGTGCTGTGCAGTGTGGTGCAGTACGCGGTGCGCGGTACAGTGCGGTGCGGTGCTGTACAGTGAAATGCGCGGTGCTGTGCAGTGTGGTGCAGTACGCGGTGCGCGGTACAGTGCGGTGCGGTGCTGTACAGTGAAGTGCGCGGTGCTGTGCAGTGTGGTGCAGTACGCGGTGCGGTACAGTGCGGTGCGGGATGGGCTGGCGCCCCGGGCCCGGCTCCACTAGGTGGCAGGATGCCGAAGGGCTCCGCGCTGGTGTCCTGGAGCCCGGGCGGATTTAGCCCTGCCTCTTCGTATTGTCTCAGGACATGATAAAATGCGGACAGTTTCCTGGAGTCCTGCCTGCCSCGCGTTTCTTACTGGTTTTGTCATTAGTAAAATAGAATCGGGAAGGATTCGAGGGAGGTCTGAGACACAAAGGAGCCCGGTGCGGTGACAGGGTAAGGGGGCACTTCTTGGCWATCGGCAATCAACGAGGGAGAATTGCCGAGGCAAAGAGACATGCTTTATGAGAGCACAGCGGGGTGTAGCGAGAAACGGTAAAATAAAAAGTGTCTGCAAAGTTTGCAAAGAGTTTGCAAAGAGGAACAGCTGGTTAAATTGTAGCGCAAGCTATAAGTCTGTAGAAAAGTACGTTCGCTTCTTTACAGAGGCAGTTCAGAGGGCAACGGCTGCATGATTTAGAAAGCGTGGCCTTTTCCCTCCGTATTTTTCTAAGTTACAGAAAAGAAAGGACACTGGAGTGTGTAAATATTAAAAATAAAGCATAAAATAGAATGAAATCTAACACAGAATTAAATCACGTGTTCTTTTTCTTACTTCTTGTCATCTTTGTCTCTTTCAAGTATGCTTTCTACTGTGTACTATGAAAGCAGTGATTTTGTTTGTATGACACACGTATAAAGCTTCAGAAATAGCCTTAGGGTCAGATGTGGGTGTTTGGGCTGAACTTACTAAAGACATAACTTCAGTTCCCATTCCTCTCGATTCAGGTACGGGCTTGACACAGAACTTGAAAAACTCAAGTAAGTGTATTTTAAAGTCGAAACGATCGCTCTTGCCCTGCACCCTTCCCTGGGCTGACCGCCGGCCCTCTGCCTCAAGTCCTTGTGCCGCTGCGCTCGCCTTCGGGACCGTAGGGGCAGCCCACGATGGACGGGGGCTTCTGGCCCTGGGTACCCACCGAGGTCAAACCCCACTAAAGCCGATCCCGGCTCCCGCGGGTGTCGGTGGGGTGCAAGCCCTGCGTACTGGGACGGGCTCGGCGGTGGCGAGCTGCTCGTTGGGAGGTCGGGGGGGTCTCCGTGCCCCGACGGGGCTGTCCTCACTGCACTGTCCCCGTTAAGCTGTYTCCCCTGCCCTGGACAGAGGGCAGAAGGCCCGTCTGGAAGGTTGGTTTCCCCGCTTCGGCACTTGGTCAGGAGAGGGGTTTGGTGCTGGAGRGAGGTTGTGGACCCGGGGTGGGGTGACTCGGGAAGCTGCGTCGGCAGGTGGAGGTAACGGGCTGGGTGAGAGCCGTCGGGGAGCCGGGGAGGAGAGGGTGCGGGGGGAGCGGCGGGGCGCGCCCGGTGCGCGGTGCCGGGTGCGGCGGGGAGGCGGGGGAGGAGCGGCGGCGGCGGCAGCGCACGGGCTGGGGCCCTAGCCCGCCCGCCTTTGAACCGGGGCAAAGCAGAGGCGGGGAGAGGGGCCGGGGCAGGAGGCGGACGGTGACATCAGAGCGGCCGGGCGGATAAGGTGGGAGAGCCGCAGGAGCGGAGTGGGCGAGCGAGGCGTCAGCGATTAGCGGCTGCCTCCGGTCCCCGCTCACCGCACTTCACCGCATCTCCCCGCACCTCACCATGCAGAGGTCTCCCCTGGAGAAGGCGAACATCTTCTCCAAACTTTTCTTCAGGTGGGAGCCCCGGCGCGGCGGGRCGCGTGCGGGCGGGCGCAGCGGGCCGGGCTGGGCAGAGGCGGCGCGGGGAGGTCAGAGAGGGTCCGCGCCCCCCRCCCAGCCCCCTTGGCCAAGAAGGGAACCGAGCACTGGGCACTAATGAGCTCTGGAAAGGCCTGTGGGGAGAGTGGTGGGAATCTCGCTTGTTGACGAGATCACTCTTTTTTTCTCATTGCTCCTGGGGTTTTAGTACCAAGAATGGGCTCTGTCAGGTGTCATAAACCTTCACTGGACCCGGACAGATGAATTTATGGCATAATTTGAGCAACCTTTGGTAAATTGCTCAACTAGTTAATCTGTTATTTCACTGTAAACTTTGAGAACCCAGTGGGATGGTAGGGAGCAGTGGGGAAATGCTCTCAAAGCAAGGATTCCTTCTGTTTGGCTCTTTGAATGTTTAGCATTTGCTCAGTGTGCAAGAGTAATAWATGATCTTACTGGAAACAGTTCCTCATAATGTTCCCTTACAAGCAAACTTCCTAGTGCGTTTTGTTTCTAAAAACTTAAAATAAAAAGAGAAGGAGCCTGGGCACAATGTACTTTGTAAGACAATATGGAAGCCTGAATACATCTTACGTGACATCTCTAGAAATGACACTGCAAACTGGAAAGAGCAAATAATCTTTTTGGTATTGGCCCACACATCACTGGTTTTGCCTGAATACTGGTTCCTCCTTTTGTTGCTAGAGGATCTTTTGCATGGCAGGGGAAAGAGGGAGGAAATCTCGTGTAAGATGGGAACACGGTGTAAAACTATAACATTGTCATGAGGTCTCTGCCTGAAAAATGGATGGCTTTTAGCTACCTTAAAATCCTTTTGGGATAGCTTTCATCAGGTTGTTCTGTACAGTTTTCAAAGTTTCTTAAGGAAGGCAGTCAGTATGAGTCACAGTTTGTCTGCCTCCCCCCCCCCCCCCCGCCTCATTTTAGCCAGATATGATTGAGGGGAAAGATCCCAAATATAACTTATTCCTGAAGTTTTACAAACATCCAATGATCCTATAGGTCATACTGCAGTGGTAAAGAAGCTGTGCTTGCTTTCAAATACTGTTAGAGCCACGGAGTGTGGATGATGGGAGTGTAAACAATTACAAATTCTCCATAAAAGATTCTTCAGTCAGTACTCCTGTCAAGTGTAAAATAGAAATCTGTAGGAAATAACTCTGTATATTAATTTCACTGCTCAAGGAGCCACTTGCTCTATTTTTATTTATTTTTATAAAACTTCTATCACAGTCAAGCATCAAGTACTCTCCTAGAACCTGTGAAGTACTCTCCTAGAACCTGTGAAGGTGTAAAGCATAAAACCCAATAAGATAAAGCGAATATATTTATGATTTCTACCATAGTGAAAGTTTCCATGTCTGTAACCAGATGCAGTTCATGCTCATTAAGTACATAATTAACCATCCTCAGGCCTGAGCTCATCTTTTAAATCAGTCTTTAAGTCCATTAAGTGGTGTCTATATCATGCTTATCATGTATGATGCTTTATATTGTACCAGCTATTGGTCAGATGACTGTAACCAAAGTGATAATAATAAAGTATATAAAGTTAAGGACATGTTCACGATGAATATTAACTAGAGTAGAGAAATGAAAGATATATGGAGAGATATTGCTTTTTTTCAATGATAATGAAAGAGGTGCTTTCAAGTACAAGAAGTACATGTTTCACTGAAGTAACATCTATGTGTGAAGTACCAATCTGAATATAATGTGATAAGTTGAAGGTCATGTAAGCAAAAGTGATTTTAAAGTATTAGCTATTACTATAGAGGAAGTCTTGCTGATAAATATAATATTGCTATTTAATATATGTACGAGCTGTTATCAGCTATAGGTGTGTAAAGTTATTGGCAAGGTTTTATTGCTTCATAATGTATCCCGTTTGGGCTGGAGAGATAGGTTTAAATGTATTAAAGTCAGAATGTAGGTCTTTGCTCATAACTGGATAATTTACACATGTTTCAGTATTGTTTGTACCTTTTTTCTTAATTCTCTTTGCCCCCCCCCCAATAAAAAAAAAAAGTGAGTAACTGTCTTGGTATACAAAGGGTAGTACTTTATAGAAAATGCTATATTTTTGTTATATTTCCAAGATTACTGATAGTGCTGGAGCAAAACAAAAGATAATTGCTAGCAGTGGTCATGATAGAAAGTATTTAAAATTAGAAATCATTTTTCATCCTAAATTTAAAACAATTTTGGTTTAAAAACTGAACTTTGGTGGTTCACAAATGAGGTGTGAAAACTAGTGGTCTGAGATCTTCTGTAAGGGTGGCACTTAGAAAGCACTGATACTGCGAGTTTGGGGTTTCAGAGTGTCTTTTGAGTTTTGTTATATTTTCCTTATTACATTTTCAGAGTTGATCCTGTTTGTTCCCTACCACATGCAAGACATTTTTTATCTSCACATTGGCAACTTTTTACCTTGCTTAAAGAAAACAGTTTTRTGCAGAAGTAGTCAAATTGTCATATGCTTGGTTTGAAGCTTTCATGGTGAAGCTTCACTTTTGTCTTTATAACCATTGCTTATTTTCTGTTGGAATTTTGGAGTTTTGCAGGGTCAAGGCCATACCTTTTGTCACAAACAGTATCAGACTACTTTGCAATCACCTAGTTTTTATTGAAGATTAACTGAGATCAGGAAGTCTTTTTAATTAATAAATTTTTATCTGTGAGCTGGCACACAGAGTTATTGCTGGAGTTTCAGAAATAGCTGCAACTATGGAACAATTCTGACTTTATTGCTTTCCTTTTGCATGCAAGTTTAGATATTAAAATACAAGTTCTCAAAAAGTAATCCTTGTGCTCATGTCCAACTCTTTGARTGTATACTTTTGCTTTGGTACCTTTCAAATGTGACAGCTTTTGACAAGACCTAGTGCTTTAGTGCCTGATTCATTATTAAATCCAAATGAAAAATACAAACTAAGCCAACTTTTGTGTCAAGTCTTCTCATGGATTCAGTCAATCACACCTACTCTAGTTGCTTCTTTCTTTCCAAATCAKAGAAAAAGAAATCTGCCACCTTTTTATACAGCTGTCCATTGGTTCATAGAACAATTTAGCCTATAGGGGATAAATGTTGGATTCATTCTTCTGCCCTGAGTGTGTAGAGGGCTAGGAAAAGGAATTCAGTTTTATGCTTCACCTCTTCTAGGAAGTAAGACCAAGTGYTACCAGTGTTAGGCAGAGAAGGTGTTTTAGTTCTTGATCTCTGGCTCAGCTACTCTTTTTAGAGCATAATTCAAGAGCAACTCTGTACTCTACTGAATAAGAAACTTTGCAAGTTGTGATTCCTGGGCTGAGACTTCTTATGAAGTCTGTTAATAACCTTTAAGGTGGATAACTGAATTCAGGACTTAGGCTTTGAAAGTACTTAATCCATAGGCTACRGTAATGCTATTCTATCACTCTTTCTAGCTTAATTCAGTCATAATTTCTACTTTAAGAGTGCCTTGTACAAGATAGTTTCTGGTTTGAAAAGGTGTTCTCATGAGAATTAAGTTAATTCCCTTCAGAGAAAGGAACTAAAGCCAGACCTTCCCTCGRCAGTTCCTTCTCTGTCCTTTAACTGAGTATCTTAGAATTTAATGCCAACAAGTTACTTAGGATTTTGAATCTTGAATTGAGAGGGATTTATGTATTTACCTTGAGAAGTTTGGGGTTTAATTTGTACATTTGTACTCAAATTTTCTCCTGAAATTGTCTTGACTTCCAAATTTTGTATAGGAAGCTTCAAGACCTAATTAATGTCTATAAATTTCACTCTGTAGGGCAGGTGTCTGGAAATTGTCATAACCAATACATATTTGGAGCATCCCTTATCAAGATCTAGCTGTAGCATTTTGCTCATCTTTCCTCTGAGTAAGGAGCCTCTGTGTACAGTAGCAGGTGGATTGAATTGCAGCATTATGCCTCAGCTGCTGGGGTGGTCAGCTTAAACAGCTTTTCAAGACAATTTTTCTGCAATGTGCTCTTAAGGTCCTATATGTGTCTAGCCCTGATGAGCTGCCTTTCACTGATCCCTGGCAATCATAAATCCTGGCTGTCAGTGATAAACCAGCACAGATGCAGCTGGAGCACAGGTTATGGCCCTGTGAGGCTGTCTGATCGTTTGTCTGTTGCCACAAGTGGTCCTTGAAGACCTGCTGGCCTGCAGACCTGTCTAAAACAGCAAGGGGTGAGTGCTTCTGAAAGTCAGATGGTTCAAAGAWGTGCATCTGAGTTTTGGACTCTTTTTGAAAATTTGACTTCAATATGCAACTTGAAGTCAACTGGAGAAAGGATACTGAATCTCCTACACTTCAAGTGATTTCAGTGAGAGGAATACCTTCTTTAACAGTAAGGATAAATTGTGTCCTTGGCTCAGYCTGATACTGCATCTTTGGTCTAATGACCAAAAGTGCAAACCCGGCGTAGCACAGGGACCTTCCCTGGCTGCTTTATAAC